TGGGCCGGGGGGGCAGGACCCTTGGGGGGGCAAGTGGGGGGAGGGCAGGATTGGTGGGATGGAGTTGGACCGTTGGGGGTGAGGGCAAGATTGTAGGGGGATGAAGGAAGTGGGGCTGGACAATTCTGCAGAGAGTTAATGAGAAATGAAGCCAATGGTAGGGGGATCCTCCTTTGAGGGGCACTGGCCCAAGGGACAGCAGTGGATGATGCTGGGTGGGTGAGAAATTAATCCAAGGTGGGGAGGGGGGAAGGAGGAGGAGAATCCCTCAAATCTGGGCACTGGTCCTGGGTTTGACACTGGATGATCCTGGGGGTGGGGAGGGGGTCTGAGAGAGAGGGGAGAAGGTGAGAGATGTAGTCCACGGGAGGGGCAGCTGGTCAAGGGAGGGGTGCTGGAGGAGGGACTATAGAAGTGCCAGCAGGCTTAGGTAGGGAATGTCTAGACTACATGCCTCTGTCGCCAGAGGCATGTAGATTAGGCTACCAGACATAGGAAAATGAAGCGGCGATTTAAATAATCGCCGCTTCATTTAAATTTACATGGACCACCCAGGTAAACCTCATCCCAGGAGGCATACCTGGGTGGTCGACAAATACCTTTGATGTCGACCCCTGCGCATCCAAACAGCTGATCAGCCGCTTCATTTCCCTTTGTCTGGTAGCCTAATCTACATGCCTCTGGCGACAGAGGCATGTAGTGTAGACTTACCCATAGTTGACTCAGTTTCATCAAAAAAGATGGGAGAAGAGTTTGAGGTTGTCACCTTGAAATCTCTCAGATTCAATAGGGCCAGCCCCATTGATTGAGGCATTCCTATGTTCAGCTCTTAGATGAGAATTTGCAGATCCAGCATGCCTATCCTCTACTTTTCTACCAAAAAACCATTAGCTTCTACAAGGATAATTAGCAAAGATACCATCTGATAGGAAGCAAAACATTGCATTATTGAAGAAGGGCCTCCATATGCTTCCAGCAATGATGGGCAAACAAGCCATGGTGATTTGGGGGCTCTCGCTTCCACTGTGCTTTTAATGGCTCCAAGACTCATGACATGGGAAGAAAACAGAGACAGATACAAAAGTCACAATAGAAACTAAGTTTGCCAAGTCAAATAGCTCTGATTCTTAACATTGCAATGCCTCTTTTTTGAGTCAGAGATTTTGCTTTATGCAGCAGTAGAAAAGCATGGGGGTCTGCCATAATGGCCAGATGTCAGGCACTGGCAGCTGCGATGTGGCTGGAGGCTGTCAGGACCAGCTTCTGTTTTTCTAAATTTTGTTGTTCCCGTTTCCCAGGCAATGCTGAGTAAGTCCAGCTAGTTGAATTTAATTTTTTCTGAAAATATATCAAATGTTTATAACCACAACCAAAACAGGTGAAAAAAAAAAAAACCCCCAGTGCAAAAATATTAGTTAAGTAAATATCAGGATTAATTTTGGTGGATGGAAAGAGGAAAAAATATTCAATAGATTAATGTTTTGAATTCTGTTTGTGTGGTTTGCTGTACAACTAAAACAGAACTCAGAACACAATGCGACCTCTGAAATTCAGATCACTATAAATCTCTAATCACCAAGTAAAACCTTTCATTTGAATAAACTGTTTATTGTCACAGACTTAGAACTATTAGCCTATAAATATTTACACTTAATTGGGCCACACTTTGCAGAGTGCACATACAATTTAATCATTCTCTCCTATTTTTGTAACTATTAAATACTTGTGCTGCAAAACATTCTCATTCTTTCCCATTTTAGTGCATCAAATCTCTAAACCATTATCTGTTAACAGTTTGAAATGTGCATACAACCGGTGTGAGATCTCAGTATATTCAGATGCACTTCAGAATTTGCATGCTGTTTGTGTATGTGCATCTCTTAGAGACCAATATATAGCCTTATTTCAACAGGTAACTTTGCATATACACAGACTATGTATTTTTTTTATATATATATATATATATATATAAAAATTTTTAACCACAACTACCATGGGGAGAGTTCAGATCTCTAAGATGTGTGTGTGTGAGAGTGAGTGACACAGAATAATCAATACTTATCATATGCATGTGGTAAATAAATATATATATATATATATATATATATAAAAATTAATTTCAGGGTATTTTTTCCTAACAAGTTATTTGTATATATTTCAATGATACAAAAGGGTGAAAATGGGGGGAAAATGAGTAATACTTTTCATAAACACTGGGAATTTTTCAGTAAAAATTCATTTTAAAAAAGGAAACAAGAGGGGCTTACATATACAATTTATCCCAGAGAAAACTGAAAAATATATGTACTCTTTTGGTAGGTAGAATAGGATTCTTTCCACCCTCAACTCCTATGCTGCCCAAAAAGCATTGAGAGTCAGAATCCTGGTTCCAAGTGTTTTGTTCCAATACCGGCTTTGCTCATGACAGGACTAAGTTTAACACAAGAAGTCATCTTACATTTAAATGAACTGTAACAGAGAAAAATAATTCGTTCTGTAAAACACTTACCCATGAATACTGGTGGTTGCTATTTTTTCTTGACAAAGAAAAGTTGCAATGAAGTCTGCTTTTTTCTTTGTTTCCACAAAGACCATGGTTCGCTCATCTCCTGCAACAGATTCAAGACAGTCTGGTAAAGAGGAACATTAGACAGACAGACAGTCTCAAAAGCACTCATGTGTTTTTAACTTTATACCATGAATACACTGCCATAATTTAAATAGATTCAGTGTTTAAAGCTACAAGAGAGAAGTCTGATCATCTTGTTTCATATCCTGCACAATATGTCTCAGAATTTCACCTAATAATTCCTGCATCAAGCCGATGCCTTTGGGATGAAGTATCTTGTATTGCTTTCTTCAATGCATGCATGACTCAATTTATGCAATCTGCAGCTCCTGCCCTAGTCTTTGCTCACCAATAGCAATAGAAATAACAGTAGTATGCTATGCTTGGGCACAAGGAGCACAAGTCACCTAGTTTTTTAAACATTTGAGGGCTTATATTTCAAAATAACTGCATGCATGGAGAGTTCTGTCAGGTACCTAAAAGGTCTAAGTGATTCAAGCTCATTTTACCTGCCCATCCTGCCATTTACTTAAATGGTCTCCATTACAGGACCTTCATAGATGGATAAAAATTATAAAAAGGTCCCCAGCGGGGGGCTCTTGCGTATTTCAAAGCAGAAGCGCCCTCATGGAGGCTGGGATCAGCTGACCCCGGGTTCCATGCTGCTTGCTGTGTGGCACTGCCCCTTTAAACTGCCACTTGGGCATTTGAAAGCATCAGCACCGCACAGCTGAGCCCAGGCTCCAGCGTGGCATTTCCGCAGAACCTGGGATCAGCTGTACAGCACTGCCCCTTTGAATACCACCTTGACCATTTCAAAGTGGCAGCGCTGCACAACTGATACCGGGCTCAGCTATGCAGCCGCTACCACTTTGAAGTACCCTCTCTTCTCTCCGCTCCTTTGCTGTCTCTGTCTGATAGAGGCAGCAAGGTGGGGACGGGAGGGAGAGATCAACTAGTGGATTAGTTGACTGACTATCTGATAAGCATTTGATTATCAGATAGTTGACTAGTCCTTAATATCTATACTCTGCATCCAATGGAAGTGCTGCTATGGTTCATCAACTCACTCAGCAAATTCTAGGTATGCAAGCATAGTTAACCAAACTATCCTATCCCATCCCAGGAGACTACCTTGGTTATGATAATCTTATGGCCCACTCACTAACCTAGGCTGCCCCTCACAATGCTGAAGGAAAGGATTAGTGCTATAACACCTCATTATAAAGCGACTGGGACTTTTCAGTTTGGAAAAAAGGAGACTGAGGGGATATATGATAGAGGTATATAAAATCATGAGTGGCGTGGAGAAGGTGAATAAAGAAAAGTTATCCATTAGTTCCCATAATATAAGGACTAGAGGACATCAAGTGAAATTAATGGGTAGCAGGTTTAAAACTAACATGCAAAAGTTTCTTCACCACACAGCATAGTCAACCTGTGGAACTCCTTGCCAGAGGAGGCTGTGAAGGCTAGAACTATAACAGAGCATAAAGAGAAGCTAGATAAACTCAGGGAAGTTAGGTCCATAAAAGGCTATTAGCCAGGGGGTAGGAATGGTGTCCCTGGCCTCTGTTTGTCAGAGGCAGGGGACGGATGGCACGAGACAAATCGCTTGATCATGGTCTTCCATCCACCCTCTCTGGGGCACCTGGCGCTGGCCACTGTCAGTAGACAGGCTACTGGGCTAGATGGACCTTTGGTCTGACCCTGTACGGCCATTCTTATGTTCTTATTAGCACATTTCACATCAGCAGGACTACAGTGTGAAACTACATGCCATATTCTTCATAGTGATATTGTAAGATTGCAGCATAATAATCATGTAATTTATGCAAGACAGGTCATGTAAAGGGTCCTTGGAAAAATTATGATTTCTTGAATATGATTATCCTATTTGTAAGTATGATGGAGTGTGGTCACAAGACTGTTGGAACTGTTCCCTGGTGTGCTGATTATGCCATTGGCCCTTGCCTTCTTGCTCTCAGCTTCGCATCACTCTGTCATAGAATCACAGAGCTGAAAGGGACCTCAGGGGGTCCATCAAGTCAAGCCTCCTGCCCAAAGCAGGACCAATCCCAACTAAATCGATCAAGCCAGGGCTCTGTCAAGCCAAGACTTAAAAACATCAAGGGATGGAGATTCCCTAGGGAACCCATTTCAGTACTTGTCCTCATGGGCCAGATTCTCTGGTCTCCGAGGGAAGGCACAGAGCAAAGGTAACTGCCTTCAATAAAGACCAATGTAGACATTGAACCACTTCAGCTCTGAGAATGCAGTTCTAGAGCAAAACACACAAGAATTCAACCCTCAAAAAGAGATCAAAACCGCAAATAAATCAGTCTCTTTGTGTAAGTGTTTTGTCTAAATGAGCTTTCATTGTGTAAGCCCCCTTCATCAATGAAAGAGGGATGTGCACACTGATTGTTCATAACTATTATTTATACTGGACATGATAGTAAACAAAAGTATTTCTATTGTATAGAAACAGAATTTCAGTGGTTGCAAGTGAACAGATCAAAGTAAGTTACAGTACTGAAGTGAAGAGAAAATGCATAGCTAGTTCTAATACACTGATGCTTATTGCATACTTACCCTAAAAGGCTGTCCTTGTCTTAGACATTATCTTCAGGTCAGAGACTCTTTGCCTGACCACGTTTCTGTAGCTGGAGCACCAGGGGAGAGGACGAGAGGCAAGGGAGCACACGTGCGAGCAGCAGGGGAGGGGATGAAAGGCAAGGGAGCGCATGTGCGCAGCAGTTCCCTTGCCTCCCTGGAGCACTACGGGAGGGGAGAAGGCCACGTGGCCTGGCTCCCAAAGCACCGGGGAGGGAAGAGGCCGTACAGTTCCAGCCTACCCAGCACAGATCACAGGGAGAGCCAGGTGCTGGGGGAAGCAACACTCCACCCCCAGAACCCCTAAAGCAGGCGTTCTTAGGGGGCAGAGTGTGGATGGGACCAAGCTGGTAGTTTGGGAAAACAAAGCCTTCCCACGCTTAAGCCACCAGATGCCTATAGATACCCCAATTCCAAGTGGCATGCTGGAGGAGGGCATCGGGGGAGGGAGAGCACCAGTCACAAAACAGTACTTCCCCTACTTCTCAAAAAAATGCAATAGGACATGTGTTGAGACCTAGCATTAACAACAATATTACATTTACAAGATACAGAACACAACATTTAATAATGTAGTATCACAAATGAATACCTATCAAGTGGATAAAATTTGATTATATCTGTACTTGGCATTTCTGCCAATCAACAAATATCCAGAAACTGGGATATTTTTACTTTGGACTGCATTCCCCCCCCCCCCCCAACTAAACAAACTTACTCTGATGGGCAATATTTCCCTGACGCACTCCAGTTTTAAAAAATAAACTGAAATTTGATCAGAGTGCAAAGACAGACTTATAGGTGGAATTACAAATTGTATAGTTCCTTCATAGCAATTTTTGCTTTATGGGTGCCAGCAATCCAGGAAACTTTTTTTTGTCCAGCACTACCCTATATTAATAGACTACCTAAAGAATGCCACATACAACATAAACACATCTAAAACAAAGTAAATTAAATTAACCAAGGCAATGAAATTCATTAAAGAAAAAAATGTTTTACTGAAATGGATAGTGTCTTGCTATATACAACAGTACAGTAACTAGAAAAATGGGGCCTGACCTGCTTGAGCAGTGAAATCAAGGGCTAAAATAAATCTATTCACTTTTAAATTCTTTTCCAAAGAGAGAAAGAATGGGAGAAAAGGTAATAAAGGAAAGTTACTTATGCTTTGTAGAATTTCAACCAGTTTCTCTCTCTTGGAATACTGAGAAACTTGAAGAATGGTCTGCTGAACATCACTGCAGGCTCCACCCACTTGTCCAACAGCAACAAATAAATATTCAGGCTTCAAAAATTCTCCAGCCAGCCTTCAAAAAGAAGGTATACCTTATTTTAATGAGTCAAACTACTTACACATCAGATAAGTAGCATAAAGCTTTTTATTATATATAAACCCAATTACCAGAACACAGATAAAGAATATAAGTTTCGACTTAAAAATTAGGACTTTTCCAGCCAAAATATATCCTGTGAAATATAGTACAGGCAGTCCCCGAGTTACGCGGATCCGACTTATGTCCGATCCGCACTTATGAACGGGGCTCTCTCGCCCTGGAGCTCGCAGGCAGTGGGACCGCTCAGAGCGCAGTGGTCCTGCCACCTCGACCTCCAGGGCGAGAAAGCTGCTCCGGGTGTCCCTGGTCTGCTGGGGACCGTCTCCAGCAGACCAGGGACACCTGGAGCAAAGCTGGGCTGATTTTGTACAGTAAAGCATCGTTGCTTTTCCGGAAATTCAAGGGCCAGTGTAGACAGCTCGCAGCTTATTCCGGAAAAGTGGAAAAGTGCGCCCCTCCTCCCCCACCAGACCAGGCTTTTGTTGTGGACCCTGGGGTAGAGCAGCTGGGGTGCTGCCGGGTTGGTCCTGCAGGGACCTACCTGGCAGCCCAGCTGTTCTGTCCCAGGTTCGAGATTCAGCCGCTGTTTAAACTGATCAGTGGCTGATTCCAGGAAGCTGGGGGCAGAGCAATTCTGCCTCCAGCTTCCTGTAGTCAGCCCCTGGTCAGTTTCAGCAGCAGCGGCTGAATCTGGAGCCAGTTCCGACTTACATACAAATTCAACTTAAGAACAAACCTCTAGTCCCCATCTTGTACGTAACCCAGGGACTGCCTGTATTCCCATGAATGTTACTGGAATCCTGCATACAAATTACAGGAAGACTTTTTGCTCTACTTTTTAAAAATAATTAACACATTCTGTAAGAAGCAAAATTAACAGCTCTGCTTTCTCAAATTGCTGTACAAACAATTCTCAACATACCTGCAAAATGAGTATTCACCCCAATTCTACACATAGGAAACAGGATTAGAGCGCTGGATTACTGAATCTCAGCAAGTTCAGTTGTTCAGCAGTTCACCAGAGCTTACTGCTTCTAGCATAAATCAGTACTGCCTCTGCTTATCTGCGGAGAATATACTGATTTATGCTGCAATAATTCATGTTAACTCTTTGACACAGTGAATGCATAAACTACACAAAATGAGTTCAACCAAGGACTTTACAGCAATAAACCTAATATCTTAACAAGTCTGTTAAATATTAGTATTTAGTACAACAGTAATAAGTAACAACTTTAAATATTTGTATTTGTCCAAACAAAATCAGATCACAGATTTAAAAAAAACACACATTTTCTTCAAGTACATTTCCAGCTTTGTGCAAATTATCACACACCTTTGAATTTCTTCTGGGAAAGTGGCACTAAACATTAGTGTTTGACGCCTGTCTTTTGATGGCATGCCTGGACAAGAGATTAATTTCTTCATCTCTGGACCAAAACCCATATCAAGCATACGGTCAGCTTCATCCAACACCAGATATCTCACTTTATGCAGTCCAATCTTCAGTGGATTTTTATTTAAATACAGTAAGAAAGAAAACAGCTTTAAAAATATTTCAACAAAGAAACATTCAAAACAGAACAGGCTAAAACCAAGAAACTTTCCTTATCTATCAATGCCATTTTCTGAGACTATTTTATCAGTGATAAGGTATTCCTTTGTACTCTCATATAGCAGATCATATTTAAAATGCTTCATATTTCTCCTTAGAATCCTCTTATTCCTGCTCTTTTCTATCAGTACACAACTAAAAAAAAATCTAATAATTTGTGTGGGGGAAAAAGAAATTAAGTGCTTATTTGTACCACAAAACGTCATAGAATTTCAGTACAACACTGTTTTCTGATCTAGTTCAATGTAGTTAAAATATCAGTCTAGTTTGGACATATACATTTCATCAAAACCAAGTATGTGACATTTATTAGTGACAGGCCCCCAATACACCATACCCTTTGTTCCGTGACAGGTCCCCTTAATAGAGGTCTGCATTAGTGACACTAGGTCACAGAATTAACTAGCTATGACAACAGTTGTTTGATTATGATAGTCACAAATCAGAAGTAAGAGTCTGACTAGTAGTCCTAGAAAAATAGATGGAAATCCTACACCTTATAGTTCTTTGGTAGCAAAGAATATAGAAATCTGCAGGAAGATCTGAGGTATCTTTACTCCCCAGGGGGTCCATTTAATGAGCACTACTTTAACACCATACATAGATTGTTGGCTAAAAACACCTAATCATTAAAAGCACAAATTATTAGGTCTGTCAAGTGACTAAAAAATTAACCCTCCATTAACCAATAGAATTATAATTTGGATGTTTTCTACATTTTGAAATATATCGATTTGAATTATAACAAAGACCATCAAGTGTATTATGCTCACTATTTTTATTACAAAAATGTGAACTCTATACAACAAAAGAAACAATATTTTTCAATTCCCTTAATAAAGAGAGAACACTACACTATCATGGAAACTAATCCTGCAAATGTAGAATTATATACAAAAATGACTGCATTCAAAAGTAAAACTTTATAGAGTCCTACTAGACCACTCAATCCTATTTCTTGTTTAACCATTTGCTAAAAAAGTTTGTTTATAGTTGCAAGCGATAATGCTGCCTGATTCTTGCTTACCATGTCACCTGAAAGTGAGGAAAGAAACTATTACCTATCTCATAGTACCTCTTTTGAGATGTACTGCTCACATCTATTCCAAGTAGGACTGTATGTGCCACATGCACAGTCAAAAGATTTTTTCCCCCTAGCAGCACCAGTCCGGTTGGCTGTGGAGCCCCTGGACCAGTGCTGTACATAGGTTACTGCCAACTCCCTGCCCACTTGGTTCCTTCTTATCAGAATACAACAACAAACAGGAAGCAGATGGGTCTTGAAATGGATATAAGCAACACATCTTGATCACTTAGGAGAGGTAGTTAACCATTTTTTCTTGAATGATTGCACATTTGATTCCAAGTAGGTGACTCCCAAACAGTGATCTGGTAGTGACTCCCAAACAGTGATCTGGTAGAGGGGTAAGATCAATACATTTCAAATTGGAGCACCTCTCTACTGAATGCAGCATTGTCTCTGACCTGCTGGGTAATATTGTAGTGAGATGTGAAATGTGTGAACTGAAGACCAAATCACCACCTAGCAAATATCCTGGATGGGAACATGAGGCAGGAATTTGGGTAGGCAATGCCTGTGTGGAATGAGAAATTAAGTGAGGAGCTGGAACCTTGGCTAGATCATAACAGGTCCTAATGCAACCTGTGATCCAAGAAGAAGTCCTCTTGGAGGAGACAGGCAGGCCTTTTGTTCCATCTGTGATAGCAATGAACAGCTGGTTAGATTTCCTAAAGGGTTTAGTACATTTTATATAGAAAGAAAGAACACATGTAATATCCAGGAAATGCAGCCACCATTCCTTGTGGGTTACATGTGGCTTTGCATAAGACTGGTAGAAAACTGTCCCGACTGGCAGGATATGACGAAACTACTTTAGGCAGAAAGACGGAGTGCAGTCAAAACTACACCTTACTCTTACAAAAGACTACGTAGGGCTCTAATGTCAGGGCCTTAAGCTCAGATACCCTTCCTAGTGAATGTAACTAGGAAGACTAACTTCTAGGAAAGAAAGGAGGAAGTAGGTTGTAATGGCTCAAAGGTAGGCCCCAATAACTTAAGACAGCAAGAGGTTAAGATCCCACAGAGGAATTGGCTGCCTCACATGAGAATAGAGCCTGTCCAGATCTTTTAAGAAGCAGTCTACCACTGGTTTAATAAACAAGTAGCAGCACACTAAGCCAGGATAGAGTGCTGAAATTTCCAGCAAGTGCACCTTTATTCAAACTGCTGCTAAACCCTTCTGCTTTAGATTAAGTTGGTAGTCCAGGAGAACTGGAATGGAGGTCTCCCTTAGCAGGATACTCTTTTGGAAAGACTAGATGGAAAAATCTCTTCCACTTAGCTAAGTGGCATAGCTGGAAATCTTCCTGCTATCTAGGAGGACTTCTCTGACTGTTTGAACATGCTAACTCTACATGATTTAGCCATGGAGCTTCCAGGCCATGTGGTGAAGGAACTCCAGGTTGGGGTGTTGGAGTCGACAGTGGTCCCGAGTGACTAGATCCAGAATTGGGGCAGAGGTGTGATTATGCCCATAGAGAGATCTAGCAACGCTGTGAACCAATGTTGACAGGGCTAAGCTGGAGCTACAAAAATTACTATGTATTGTCCTGATCCATCTTGAACAGGGCCTTGTGGGTGAATGGAAGTGGCGGGAATGCATAGTAGGAGGCAAACCCTCCACAGAATGTCTGCCAATGACCCACTGATCAAGGAACGGAACTGCTGGCACTTCCTGTTCTGGTACACTGTAAAGAGGTCTATCTGGGGACCCCCACTTTTGGAAAAGATAGCTGTCAACATCTGGGCAAGAGGACCATTTGTGGCAGCGGAAGGATCTGCTCAGCTGGTCAGCCAATTCAATCTATGTACTGAGCATATACAAGACTTTTAGGTGTATCTTGTGCATGATGCAGAAGTCCCAGAGCTTGAGGGTTTTGCAACACAGGGAAGAGGAGCAAGCACCACTCTGGTTATATAAAACATCACACTTAGGACTGATACACATCTGCCCTGGAAGTGGGTGCAGAAAGTTTGTCAGGTAAAGCGTACTGCAGGCAGTTCCTTGACACTGACATGTGGCAGAATCTCTGCCTGCTACCAAAGGCCACATGTTCTGAGATTGCCTAAGTGAGCATTCCAGCCCATCACCGATACATCCATGACCAGAGTGAAGATCAGCTGTGATTTGGGAAAGGCGATGTGTGCACAGAGTGTGCACAAGTTGAACTAAAGAAGGGCAAGACCTGGGGTATGAGTGACCTCTCTGTCTAATCTATCTTGACTGTCTGGAGACCTGGGCCAGACACGCCTGAAGAGGGCAAAGTCAAATCCTGGCATGCCATACTATGCATGTACAGACTGATATGACCAAATAACTTTAGACTGTTTCATGATGTCACGGTAGGGAAGGTTATAAGGTCTCTTCTAACATAGAAACTCTATCCTCTGAATAGGGATGAGTTAGCTTTGCCATATTCAGGGCCAGATCAAGTCTTAGAGTGCTGCATAGTCTCAGATGGTCCTTTGTTTGTACAGGAGACCTGCCCCGATCTATTACCCAGGTAGGGGAACTCCTGCCTTCTCCATAGGAAGGCAGCCACAACAGCCATGCATTTTGTGAACACATCAGGACCACCAATAAGTTGAAAGAGAGGACTACAAATGGAAGTGCTTCTTGCCTATCACAAGGGCTACGTCTACACTGGCCCCTTTTCCGGAAGGGGCATGTAAATTTCACTAGTCGTCGTAGGGAGCCCTTTTCCGGAGGCTCTTATTCCTACTTCAAAGGAATACTTTGAAAGTAGGAATACTTTGAAGTAGGAATAAGAGCCTCCGGAAAAGGGCGCTTTTTCCGGAGGATCGGGGCCAGTCTAGACGCTCTTTTCCGGCTTTTTTAAAAGCCGGAAAAAAGCGGCGGACATTTTTATTTAAATGCCGCGGGGGATATTTAAATCCCCCGCGGATTTCCCTACGACGACTAGTGAAATTTACATGCCCCTTCCGGAAAAGGGGCCAGTGTAGACATAGCCAAATTGAAGAAGCTTCCTGTGGGATGGGATTATGTTGTGAAAATACACATCCTTCAGATTAAGGACAGCATACCAGCTGTGTGACTCCAGCAAGGATATGATGGAGGCAAAGGAGGCCATATGAAATCTCGGTCTCTTCATGAACTGGTTCAAGTTGTGCCAATCTAAAATAGACTGGAACCCACTCTTGGCGATGGAGATTAGGAAATAATGAGAGCAAAACACCTTGCACGCACCTGAACTCTGGAGGGACCGTCTCTACTGCTCCTAACTGCAGGATGATTGCATCTCCTGTGTAAGGAGTTGTTTGCAAGGAAGTTCTTAAAGAGGCTTGGAAAGGGAGAAATGGAGAATTGAAGGGAATGTCCTAGTTCTACTGTGCTTAAGACCCAATGATCTGAGATGGTCTGAACTCAACACACAGCAAAAGTGGGATAAATGGTTTCCAAACAGTGGAAAAGTTTTCAGGGTCACCTCTGGTAGACTGACCTCAAGCACACCTCCAAAAGGTCTCTTTGGAGACTGCCTCACTGAGCGCTGGCTCTGATTGTTGGAAGAGCTAAGAGGCCCTATCCTATTGCTATGGCTGCCCCATATTAAGAATAATAATTATAATCAACTATTTGACTAGTCAATAGAAAATCCATCCACTAGTCCATAAGCAGGAGAGCTGAAGCAGGGTCAACTCCCAGTATTGGCAATAACCCCGCTATAGCTCTGCCTTATAAATATATTAAGAGTCAATAGGCTCTTAATACATTTAAAGGGCTAAAGTGCAGTAGGGGGACAACATGAGCTGGGAATCAGCTCGCCCAGTTTGCGCCAGCCCCAGCCC